TCTAGCTGACTCACCTTCCCTATTGTACAGATTCAAAATCCTGGTAGGTATGCTAATGCTAGACTAATAAATTCTTCTAAATGTCATTTTTAAGTTTAAATTTAACAATATACCACTATTTCTTTATTCCTAGGATAAAGCTCAACCAGATACACAAGCAAAAATGTTTGGAAATATGGCATTCCATGCCAAACTAGCAGTTGATCACATTGATGGCTATCCTTTGGTAAAGCAACCTGGTTCTGATGGATTCAGCCTGCTGTCAACTCCATTATTCCAGGTAATTTGGATGAGGAAATTTTATTGGATACATGCAGGTTAGGTGGACAACTGTTACTGGAGTCTCACGGTCTTTTTCATTTTGCTTAGTTTTCTATTCCTTTATTTCATTTTTTTTTTTAAACCTAATAGGTAGCAGTGGGTCGAGAGTGGTACATCCACACCATCTACATGGTTCGATCACGTGAAAATGCTCATAGGGGCCTTGGAAAAAGAAGTATTGAAGATCACCATGCTTTATCTTGCAATAACAGTAGCTCACATCTTAGTCGATCTCGGAGAACTATTTCTGATATTCCTGCTCTCGCCCAAGATATTGGTGCTGATAAGAATAGAGGAACAAATATCCAGCATATAGTTCTTGACCGATCTAATAAAATTATACTCAAGCAAAAAGAATGGTCTCCAGCAGGTAAACCGTATGAAAAGCCAATCCTGCAAATTACAGGAAGCAATGCAGAAGACAAGATAGTTCCCATTATTGGAGGTGCAATTGGACTGTTGCTTCTTCTCTGCACTGTTATAATCATTATATTACTTCTGAAGCGAAAAGGACATTCAACTGATGGAAAAACAAGCTCATTTACCAATCATTCCAACAGTAATGAAACTATGACTACACAGCAGAGCAATACTGACAGCTCTGAAGTTTAACAGCATTGATGGCTCTTTGAAGATCCTACACAGTGGAAATCACATGGAGCTGTGGTGGGGTGGGGTAGATATGGAATTAGGCTGCTGCAGTTTTGGTACTATGTTGAGTGAGATTTCAGCATTTGGAAGAAAAGTATAGCAAGAATAATCTGTATAGAAATGTGACTTATTTATAACTTCCACCACCACCAACTCCCAGGAACACAGGATGATCTCCTGTTCCCCTGAAATGGTGCTTTAAAAAAAATCTGTTAGCAGATATACGTGTGCCTTATCTATCAATATGAAAGCCTGGTGCTATTCAAAGGGATATGGATTTCCTTTTCATTTTGTATAGTGTTTAGATTTATACCATTTTTATATGACAGGGTGACAGGAAGGTTAAGAAAAAAGGCAAAATTTTAACTAAATAGGATACAAGCAAATATCTATAATTAAATTTCAGTAGAATTGTATTATCTGTATTGATAAGCAAAATGCTGTATTAGAAAAATACTGAACTTATTTAAAGAGAATGTTTCTTGAATGTTTTGATATACAAGTATTACAAATAGTCTGTCATATAATATCCTGCAATGTTCTGTACTTATGTATCATAAATATCATAAAGCTAAATCATTATTAGATTCTTATTCCAATTGCTTGCAGCTAGTAGTATTTTATTTATGTTAGTTCAAATAGCTCTCTCCCAATGGAACTTTGAAAATACTGTAAAACATTGTGAATAACTTACATGATCTTAACTGCTGGAGATTTCTTTTCAGTGTTCTGTTTTTAAAAACAACTGCTACTTAGCTAAGCGATCATAATAAATTTTGTGTCAACAAATGCAGCCATTTAAAAAAATAATGTGACAATTATTACCATGTTATTTTGAAAATAAATCATTCTGGGAAAGGGCTGTTCAATATTGTTTTAGGACAGTGGTTCTCAACCTGTGGGTCGGGACCCCATTTGGGATCAAACGACCATTTCACGGGGGTCGCCAAACAAGGCTGTCCGCCATTTTTTTCTCCTTTTCTTTGGCCACGCCCCTGGCACCCGCTGATGTATAAGTGGTTGGGGGCCACCACAACATGGGGAACTGTATTATGGGGTCGCGGCATTAGAAAGGTTGAGAACCACTGTTTTAGGAGAATCAGGATGGCACTTTGCTATTACCTGAATAAAATAGTGCCACACGCTTTATGTTTTCAAAGCTGATAACCCCTTTTTATTTCAACTTTAACTATGAACTAGACAGAACTGGCTTTAGTTCTGAAGCAACTTTCCATGTCAGATTGATAGAATCGGTATAATTCCAAAATAAGAAAAAGTAAGGTTATTGCCTCCATTTCCTGAGGTTCTGGTGTGGAATTAATCACATATACTAAATTTGGTTACAGAATTTATATATTTCTCACGTAATAGGTTTTTGCCCCAGATGTCTGGAAAGTTTTAGATTTTACTCATTGTAAATGTCTATGTGACATCAAAGCTAATTAATCAGAGGATGCTGTGGAAAGTATTTTGATATACTAAAAACTACCCTTGGTTAATTGGACAGCTGGTTTTGTTTTTTAACAGCATTTGTGTTATTAAAACAAACCATTTCCTTTTTCTCATGCTTGGGAGGAAATGCCTGTTAATGGTGCTTGAACACCATTTGACTATAAGTAATTTAATAAGCTTCACCTTGTTAATTAATATAATCAATGTGCATTAGTTAATATATCTACTTTCCTTACCTAGAGAGAAATTCTCAGAATACTACTGACCAATCTATAAACTATAATATCCACTTTAATACTGTATGCTAGTTTCTTTTAAATATTTTAATTCATAGTGTTTATTGGTCCATCAGGCGAAAATCACTTGCCCATAAAAGTCTTCTGATTTTTATATATATATATATATATATATATATATATATATATATATATATATATATATATATATATATATAAATAATGGATCTGCTGGCTGTTCCTGCTGTTTCTTTCATATAGGGCAATGCACATTTCAAGATTATTTGGAAAAGTGAATTCTATAAGCAGAGCAGCTCTCTACTATTCATTAAAGCAGACTGACATTTATGGCTTTGAAAGCGAGTGTGAATACTCCTAATACCTTTCCAAATGACAATAGCAATATATTCTTATCCACCTATACCAGCTAAATTCAAGTTTACTCACATCACAGGACCATGCTATATTTTCTTCAGTATGTTTTATCTGCATAGACATGGCAGCTAGTTTTGATTCCTCCTCTTCTTTCTTCCTTTTTTGTTAATCCAAAATAATTTAATGGTTCATTTATGAAGAAATGTATGAAGTTTAAAAAAATTTAATGTAAAATTGAAATGATGGGTTCTTTTGCTTATAGGAAGTCAAAATATGCAAAGTTTTATTTTAATTAGCTGCAATAATCGTGTTTATGTACTTGAGTGATTATGAACCAATTTATCATAGGTTAATCATTGGTTATTTATTCTGTCAAAATCATGAGCTTAATCTTATTAACTGTAGACTTTCACATTTCCAGAATTACCACTGTTATATTACCAAGCAGTCAGAGGCATAGAATCAAGATCACACAAGTATTAGTACCGCTTTATAAAACCCTAGCGAGACCACACCTGGAATACTGCAACCAATTTTGGTCACCATACTACAAAAAAGATGTTGAGACCTTGGAAAAAGTTCAGAGAAGAGCAACTAAGATGATTCAAGGCCTAAAACATACGAAGGACGGCTGAGGACTTGGGTTTAGCTAGTCTAAAGAAAAGAAGAAATAGGGGAGACATGATAGCAGTATTCCAGTATTTGAGGGGCTGCCACAAAGAAGAGGGGGTCACATTATTCTCCAAAGCACCAGAGTGCAGGACAAGAAACAATGGTTGAAAACTGATCAAAGAGAAAAGCAACCTAGAATTAAGGAGAAAGTTCCGAACAGTGAGGACAATTAACCAGTGGAACAGCTTGCTTTCAGAAATCATGGATGCTTTATCACTGGAGGCTTTTAGGAAGAGACTGGACGGTCACTTGTCGGAGATGGTGTAGGTTCTGCTTGAGTGGGGGGCTGGACTAGAAGACCTCCAAGGTCCCTTCCAGCTCTTATCCTATCCTCTATGTTGAAATGCTAAAGAAGGAAGGTCTGATAGGAACATCTTGAAAAGAAACAGCCTTTAAAAAATGGTATGCACTGCTTGTACATTGCTCAATAAGAGGAGAGCCTTTGTGCTCTGATAAGGCTGCAGTTTTATTTACACTACCTGGAATAAGACTCAGTTCAGTGAAATTGCTCTTTCTAAAGTTTTACTATAAATTATATGACAATTGGTATAACCATTCAGTCTATTTTTCATTTGGCAACCGAAAGGTGGAAAGCCACTAAAATGCAAGCATTCTTTCATTAGTGTTCCTAATGTGGACTAAAATACTTCCCGAACAGATTATTGCAATTTGTATTACATTCAAATGTAAAATATATGTCATAGCATATAATTGTATACTTAACTCACTTATTTCAAAGTACAGGTAAAGTTAGGTTGTCAAGGACAGAAACATGACGTTTCAACTGTATTGCACTATACTGCTCATGCCCTATGACTGTGAATTTACCAAAATATTCTTTCAGAGTCATTTTATAAAATGGTGTTTTTTCATACAAGCATTGTCTCTTCCATTTGTTGTCATATTGCATTACCTAAGGTATTGGACCTAAACATAAGGCCAGATACTAAATGCCATGACCGCAGTGTAAAATCTGAAGACCAAACTACTCTGTTATTAAAGTTGAAAGCCTGGAATCTGCAAAAATCAGAGGTAATTTTACTACAAGTTTACTACAGTAAACGATAATAAACTAGAAATAAATTGTATTTAATGGTTGTTGTTTGTTTGCTACTCTTGTAAGTTGTCAGTAGCCTTTGATTGAAATGAATTGTCAGATACGCTTGCCAGAAACTACACTACCGACTGCATTCTGATTAATAAAATATTCAAGTGGCAGAGAACAGAAAATTTGAATTTAGCTGATACAAGTGGATGCCTATTATTTTTTGTAGAAAAAAACAGAACACTTCATTGAACCAAAACAAGTTTTTTATTTTTCAAGTAATTATAAAATATAAAGTTACTATGTTAAAATTTATCCTTACATAGAAGCTTTTTCCTGTTTTATTCCTAACATTTCCTGATGTAAAATATATACAGTCACGTGAAAAAGTGCACAATCTTTGAGTTCTATGATTATACATATCAGGACATAGTAAAAATCATCTGATACATAGCAATTCTTAAAACTGGGTAAATACAACCTCAGATGAACAACACATGACATATTACAGCATATCATTTATTTTACGAAAAGAAAGCCAAAATGAAGAAGCTATGTGTGAAAAACAAAGTACACCTTATGATTCAATAGCCTGTAGGAACTTTAGTGGCAATAAGTTAACGTAATAGCTTTCTATGACTTTATCAGTCTCGCATATAGTTGTGGAGGAATGTTGGCCCACTCTTTATAAGATTGCTTCAATTCATTGAGGTTTGTGGGCGTTTGAGGTCCCACTACAGCATTTCAATTGGGTTGAGGTCTGGACTTTGACTGGGCTGTTGCAACATCTTGATTCTTTTCTTTTTCAGGCATTCTGTTGTAGATTTGCTAGTGTGCTCAGGATCATTGTCCTGTCGTATGACTTAATGTCAGTCAAGCTTTAGCTGTCAGCAGATGCCCTCACATTTGACTCTAGAATACTTTGGTATTTGTGGTCAATTCAGTGATTGCAAGGTACAAAACAAGCCCAATCCATTACCCCTCCTCCACTGTGTTTGACAGTTGATATGTTTGTGCCAATATGCTGTGTTTGGTTTTTGCCAAGTGTGGCAATATGTATTATGGCCAAACATCTCCACTTTGGTCTTGACAAAAGGATAGCTTTCCAGAAGTCTCGCAGTTTGTTCAGATGTAACTTTGCAAACCTAGGTTGTGCTGCAATATTATTTTTAGAGAGAAGAGGCTTTCTCCTGGCAACCCTTTAAACTAGGGGTAGGCAACCTTGGCTCTTTTATGACTCGTGGACTTCAACTCCCAGAATTCTGGAAGTTGAAGTCCACGAGTCATAAAAGAGCCACGGTTGCCTACCCCTGCTTTAAACAAACCACACGTGTTCAGTCTTTTTCTAATTGTACTGTCATGAATTTAACATTTAACATGCTGAGGCCTGTAGAGTCTGAGATGTAACTTAGATTTTTGGCAATTTCTCTGACTATTGCACCATCTGACCTTGGGTTGAAATTGCTTTGACATCCACTCCTGGAAAGATTGGCAATTGTCTTGAATGCTTTTCACTTCTGAATAATCTTCCTCACTGTAGAATGATGGACTTTAAATTGTTTGGAAATGGCCTTATAACCCTTCTCAGATTGATGGGTGGCAACAATTGCTTCTCTAAGATCATTGCTGATGTCTTTCCTCTTTGATACTGTGTTAACACACACCTTAATGCTGGAGACCAACAACTCCTAAAACCTCAGCTTTTATTGAGATAGCCACATTTGCTGATGATCAATTGATCAAGAGCACTTGATTAGCAGCACCTGGCATGTCTATGGAAACAGTGTGTTATTTAGTTTTTCACACATGGCTTTTCCAGTTTGGGTTTCTTTTTGTAAGATAAATGATGACGTGGTATAATGTCAGGTGTTGTTCATCTGAGGTTGTATTTACCTACTTTTAAGAATTGCTAAGGACCAGATAATTTTTACTGTATCCGGATACATAAAACCACAGAACTCAAAGATGTACTCCCCCCCCCCCACTGTATTAGCTAATTACACTTTATTATAAGAATGTAAATTGATAAGCTAAGTTTGAAGTTGGTGGTTTCCACAATCTGGGTAAAATAAAAAGTTCAGTCCAGGATCTGAATGTTTAATTTGTACATGCAGAAGCTTGATCCAATACCAAGGACTGCTAAGTGACAGTTTTTTCAGGGATTGTATAATATGAAGGTTACAGAGAAAGCAATCACGCTGTACCTATTATTTGGGTTAAAGAACACAACAAAAAAAAGGCTAATTCTTGTTTTCTATGAGAAATCTAGAAATAAAATTTGAGTGGAAAGACTTTTACCTAAACATTACACTATCCTTTTTTCTGCTTATTGTGCGGTAAGCTAATTTGAAATGGTTTTCTTTGGCTTACCAGTTACAAATGCAGTTTAACATGATGTATAAATGGGAATTTGATTTTGGCTTCTTGACTTATTACTACTATAACTGACCAGAATACAACAATAATTGGCAAGTGAAAAGAGAAAGTAGTTCCAAAAAGAAAAAAAAATGATTAAATTACATTGTAAATCAACAATACTGATTCTATGCTATAATGCAAAGTACCAACTCCAATGTAATATTCCCAATGATGCTTCTGTGTCCCACAGACATTTTCCTAGAAAATAAAAATGTTGGATGGCTGGATATTTGATATTTTTATCTGCCTATTTAAAAAGGCAAAAGTTAAACTAAAGTGCAGAGATCATCTTGTGAAACTAATACAATGGAATGGATAAGTTAGTTTGCCCAGTTAAAAATGGTCATTTTATCACTGGATATATGTTCCATAAAGCGAAGGACATACCGTGTTTCACCAAAGTAAGACCTACCTCATAAGTAAGCCATAGCTTGATTTTTGGGAGTGAGCCTAATATAAGCCCTACCCTAAAAGTAAGCCCTAGTTTTGGGGCAAGGCGCACAATTAAAAATCAAACTAGGGTGGGGGGGTAGAAGGATGGAGCTACCCCATCACCCCATACCCGCTTACCTTACCGGTAGAACCACTGCAGCCAGGCCTCCCACACTCACATTTGTAGTGCTGCATGGCTCATCATGCTGGTGCCGGCACTTGCAGCAGAAGGCTGCACAGCACTTGAGGGCATTTCCACTGCTCATGGCAGGAGACCGCATGGTGCTTCACGCCATTGCCGTCACGAGATGCCATACAGCGCTTTGGGCCATTGCCACTGGCCCGAAGCACCACATGGCCTGCCGCAAGTGGCGTCAATAGTCCAAAGCACCATGCGGTCTCCTGCCGCATGCAGCTGCAACAGTGCAAGTAGTGGCAAGCAGCCACTGAAGAAGTCAAGCAGTAGTACGACAGATGTCAGGGCGTGGGAAGCCTGGCTGCAGCAGTCCTAAGGTAAGACATCTCCCGAAAATAAGACCTAGTGCCTCTTTTGGAGGCAAAAAAAATATCATGTCTTATTTTCGGAAAAACATGGGTATGTTCAAAACTTTATAGTCTGGGAATCCTAAGCACAATATCTATAAACTACTCATAGGTAGTATGATTTAGCATATTTGTGAAACAAAGAATTGAACAATATATACATAAATATATATATAAAAAACATCAACTACTAGATGAAGCCTATTTTTTATTTCAAGTGTTAATGGTAAAAAAAAGTTCAGCACAGCTGTTTTATTTAAAAACGTGAAACTACGTTACTCTTCTTCTAGTTCAGCAAGTAAACACATGAATCCAATGTCCTTTAATGACATAATAGTTGAGAATTGTAAAGTACATCTTATGAAGACCCGTAAAATTAAAGAACTAAATTTAGTGATTACAAGAAATCAAATATTCACAGCTTTAGTTTCTTTTTTCTTCCTCTTCCATCAGGAGTACCATCCAATTTACGTTTCTGTGTCTGTATCAGAAAAGACAAAAATTGAGTCTCAGCTCTGAGAATTTTGTTCGTGATTTAAATTATTTTAAAGCTACAGTGAGATTAAAAACATTTTATAATTTGTTTTTCTTTGTATATCAAAATTATTATTATTATTATTATTATTATTATTTAAAAATAGTTTTCATAATAATATGGGAAGAGGAGTCTAGAAAAAAAAATATTGCAAATATCTTAATCCTGGTCAGTTCTATGCCACTTAGCATGAAGCATTGAGGCAATGTAAAAATATGATTAATGCTACAAATCTAGACTTAATGTGTGCTGTTTAAAATATTAGAAGAACTAGAAATTATAACTAATATGGATTCATAATCTTTTCCTATACACATTAACATTTATATCATTTTCTTTCATCTGAAGAAAATGGCCTATGAATCTTCACAGTTAAACACATTGTACTCTCACCAGAGGTTTAGGTCCACGTTTTTTCTTTTCTGCTTTCTCTTTTTCTTCTAATTCCATATTTTCTCTTTCAATCAAAGTGATTAAGGTATTACACCTTCGTTGTAATTCCTGAATCAAGAGCAAACAGGAGAGATTCAATGGTATAATTGCCACTACACAAGAATTTCACACAATTACATTACGTTCTTTCTAATCATCTCCACTGTATAGATGCTTCCTTGTGTAAGACAAACTTTGGAAAAATCTGTAGAATAAGCCCTCCAGCCTTCCAAACTAGTCATAGTTAAAAGCCTACTTTGTCAACAATTTACATCTACTATACTGTACTGTATATCTGGAACTACAGCTCCATTCCTTGGGAATCATTATATTCAACAATGAGATATGGAGGGAACCTCTCTTTGTGGGATGAAAATGAGGCAGAGAACGAAAACAGAAAAAGTGTGTAGCCATTATACTACTTCAATAAAAATGTCAGTGTCTCCTTTGGATTACAATTACATCAAGCAGAGAATCTCCGGTATCTTTGAATGGAATTATGCCCATAGTTAAGAAAAAAATAGACTATTTGAAGCTCTCTGAGCTTGGTTGTTTGCTTGCAGACATTTCATAACTCAACTAGATAACATCATCATTTGCACAGAGCAACACATTCCTTTCAATATGCCTGCTTATTCTCTTGTAATGCCTTCCTCTCTAACGAAATACAAAAATCAATTCACTTCTTGCTAATTATCTCAGTGCCAGAATGACTACCCCAAAGGGAGGGACAATGGAAAAAGCATAGACGTTGTCATGTGATTTTTCACTTAGTGACTGCTTTGTGTAACAACAAAGCTGCCAGTCCCAATTGTGGTTGCTAAATAAGGCATACTTTAAAAAACATTTTTTAAAATATAATTACTATGCTGCTCCAAATGTACAATTGGATGGAGACATTTAGACACTCCTAGTTGAATTTTAGGTTTCAGTGGAAGCTAGCACAACCTGTACCTGACACATTCATTCACACATTAAGCATGTGTGAATGGATACTTAATAATATTTTTAATGTTTATAAATTCAAAGTAAGAAAATAAAAAAACTGCAGTCATGCAAAAACCATTTCCCATAGCCAACTAAGAATAGCTCTTAAATGCTTTTGGAATTTGTTTCCACTCTTCCTTGCGAAATTCTAACTCAGAAACATTTTTGATATCCTTGAGTGCACTTAGATCTCCGTAGAGATTTTCAATAATATTCAAGCTGGGAACTATCAAGATCAGTCTTACACCTTTTACTGTATTTTTGTTATAATCTATAACTATTTCCTTTTCTATAGCTATTACCTGCTATGATTCTTATCATGGGGTTACAAAAATAGCCAATCACCTTTTGTTTCAGAAGACGCTGGGGTATTGTCTTCTAGGATATGTTGATATTTAGTTGAATCCATACTTTCTTTCACTCACACAATATTTCTTGTGCCATAGGCTGCTATATGACTCCAAAGGAATAGAGTCAATCCTGTGCCTAATAGGTTCCAAATGTTATTTTCATAAATTGTGTCATCCTTTCTTGTCCAAATTTATTGTATGCTTTGTGCCCAAACAGTTCAATGTTTGTTTCATCAGCGCAACCAAAACACTTTATTTGAAAATATTTTAAGCTTATTTAGGATTTCTTTCAGCATTCCTTAGACAATGACTTTTGAAAGAAAATTATCCCATGAGGGTAACTGTATAAATAATATTTATATCATAGTCCAGTGGACAACCAGCTATTTTTCTCTATAGGTTTTGTTATTCATTCACTTATTCTGGCTGATAGGACCCTCCAATTAGTACTGATTGAATGACATATACTCCTGATCTGTGTAATTGAGATTAAAACAGAAACTCCTTTCCAAAATACAATAAAGTAAAAAATAACATAAGCTGTACTATGCTTATTCACCAGGGAGATAAATCACATTAATTTAAACAAATACCCACTATGAGAAAGAGCGACAGAACTTCACCACACTCCCCTCCCATGTTCCTTTATAAATCAGCATTTATAATTGTACTAAGAAACTTCCAGATAACAAGTGGTGCAAACAAAGGAGATATTACTCCTCATAAATCAGGTTTCACTTGTTACCACTGGTCTAACATTTTTTGGTCAGAATATACAGGTAGTTCTTGACTTAAGATCATTTGTTTAAATAGTTTAAAGTTATGATGGTTTGTCTTACAGTCACATGATCACATTTTGTGACCTTCCCAGCTAGCTTCCAACAAGCAAAGTCAATTGACGAAGCCAGATTCGTTTAACAACCATGTAATTCACTTAATGACTATGTGATTTACTTAACTACCACAGCGATTCAATTAATAACTGCAGTAAAATTGGTCATAAAATTGAGTCTGATCACATGATGACTCACTTAACATCATTTATTGTCTGAACTTCTGGTCCTAATTGTAGTCATAAATCAAGGACTACTTGTTAGAAATAAGGTTTATCTACACATAATACAGTTTTCTCTACTCACAAACTGGTTTTATTGTTTTTTGTATTTCTAAAAAAAAACAAACAGAAACTAGTACATACCATTGCAGTTCTAGACTTGAGGAACCAATCAAATCTGAACTGGGGAGAGTTTCGAATACACTGTCTCAATTCATCATAAACATTTTCTTTATCAAATCCAAGCTTATGAAGCATACAGATCAAAAAGCGATCTTCCTCTTCTGTGTAATTTTTCCCTTTGTTAGTACCATACGATATTCTCAGTTGGTGAAAAGGTGCTTTGTATCTGCCAATCTAAGAAAAACACAAGCAAATCAAAGTGGCATGTAAAAGAATATACATAATATAAGCTCATTGGAAATTTAGCGAGTGCATACTTCTAGAAGCAAAAAAGTCTCTTAATTTGTAGATAATTGATTAGTTTTATTACCATATCAACAATATAAAACAAAAAATAAAATATAGGATTTAAGTAATAAAATATATGTACATTAAAACACAAAGAATCAGCCTTCAGTAAACAATCTCAGAATACCCCAATCTGTTCAATATAACAAGCAGCCTCTCAAAAATTTAGACCTTCTTTCCAAATCTGAACATTGAGTTAGGTATTTAAACGATCAAAAAACTAATACATCTGGACTTCCAGTTCTGGTTAGCGGTGTCTCTAGTTGCACCGAGAGACTCGTCTCCTTGTCGGCTAGCTTTCCCTCTGCCGGTAGACCCTTATGCGGGTCCAAAGTTGCCCTGGAGGGTGTGACTTCTGTCGAGGAGGCTCTGCTCGGCTACTGAGGAGCGGCGGCTCTTTTAGTGGTCTGAGCTATCTCTGAGGGCCAACGAAGAAGAAGATTGGCCAGTAAAATGGCCGATCACCCTGCTGCTTCAAACCGCAAGTCAAAGAACATCTAAGCTGTAAGAACCCCCGTGGTGAATCTGGGTGAGACTTTGCTTTGCTATTCTCTCTATTCTATTTCGTTTTTGGTACCTGAAAGAGCCTTGTTGGAATTATTTCCCTTGCTTGAAAAGGCAGCTTCTACATTCTTTGGGAAGAAAGGCGTTCTATAAAAATAGAACAAAATTTTAAAGACTATATTTTACTTTTATATTTTTGGGGTACAGGAATTTTTTTTTCTTTTCCTTTCTTTCTAAGAACTGTATTATTATCCTATATTGGAAGATTATTTCTTTGTCACATTATACTTTAAAAGGTAGAAAAAAAAGGAAATGGTTTCTGGAAAAGACCTTTTTTAATTTACTGAGGACATCTAGTGGCGAAAATTTAAAACTGCAACGTCTGGTTACTTGGTGTGAAGATGGAACATATCTGACCTTCAAAACACTTTTGAAGAGAAAAGATAATCTGGGCAGCTGTGGGAACTGTGGAGGTGGATATTGCCTAAATTATATCAAATATAGCCTCCACAAAAAAAAAAAAAAAGAGAGAGAGACTCTTTTTAATTACTATCAAAATGGAGAAACCTCAGTCACAATTAAACTGTACACTTATATTGGAAAAGATGAGGCTACTGCAGAAATATGTGCTACAATAAAAAAGTTTACTACAGAACTAAGATCCAGAAATTTCACTTCAAATGTTCAAATGGATGTCCAGGATACATCTGACTATGGTATAAATCAAAACATACTAGAAGAGGAATTAACAGAGATAAAAGAGGAACTTATTCTAGCTTACAAACCTTCCATCTGCAACTTAGAGGAACTGAAGAAGCAAAGACTGAGACTTCAAACTACAAAGCAACGACCCTTCAAGGAGGAGAAAAATAGACGTATAATGCAGAGGATGGGATTGCTATTATTGCAAAGGCTACTGCAAGCAACAAAGACAGATCTACTGGCTGAAAGGGAAGCGTCCCTATGGAAACCTGCTTGGCCCAGGAAAAAAGCCAGAATTAGACTGAAAAGAGAAATTTAAAACTGTGTAAGGGATTTAAAGGCAATGTTTGATTTATGGTTTGTTTTAAGGATTAAGATTTAGAGGTAGAAGCAAGAAAAAATATAAACATATATATGAGGGTGATTTTTAGAAAAGATATTTTAAATAGATTAAGAATACTTTTTGGAATAACAGATTTATTTTGATGAAAATTATGTACTGGAATTGAAAAAATGTTGATTTTTTAGATTGGGATGGTTTTAATAATTAATGGAGTGTTTTAATTTAGATGATTTTTTTGGTACAATAACGTAAGACGTGATAAGGTATGGCAGTCAATTGGATGAAATTTGAAGTTTCTGTAATGAATTGAAGTGAATTAAGGTTTAACATTATTTTTTAACTAAGATAGCTATTGTGTAATGGAAGAAGAAATAAATGAGATTGGTGATAAAAGGAGGGATGAGAGAAATTAAGAACTAGAATATATCTGGAAGGGATACCTGAATTGATAACTTGTTGAGTTAAAGTGAATTTGATTTTGGTAATTGTAAACTGATAAAGTTTTAAAATAGGTTTAGTAGTAATAGAAATTTAATTTAGATATGGAATATTTAAACGTATTATGTTATTTGAGGGAAATAGAGAGGAGACAGTGAATGTATTGAGTTGTTTATTTATGTTTTTACTTTAGAATGTCTGATTACCCAAACACCACGGTGTGTCCTGAGTACTTTTTCTTAAAAATTAAAAAAACAATAAAATATTTTCAAAAAAAAACCTAATACATCTGGTCTTTGACTTATGACTAATATGAGCCCAGAATTTTGATTGTAAATTGTTGTGGTCATTAAGCAGGTCACCCTGCGACTTGGCTTGATTTTACAACTGTTTTTATGACAATTGTTAAGTGAGGCACCATGGTTGTCAAGCCAATAATATGGTCTTTAAGAGAACACATACTGATTAAGTGAATCCAGAATATCAAATCGGTGTTTTTGCAATTTTCTATCAGAAGGACTCAACAGCTGCATATAGTCCAGTGGTGGCGAACCTATGGCACACGTGCCAGAGGCGGCACTCAGAGCCCTCTCTGTTGGCACGCGCACCAGCACCAGCAGGTCCATCAGGCTGCCACTGCTGCCCGGAGCAGAAGCCCCGCCCAGCACAAAGGAACCGAAGCGGCTGACTAGCAAGCTCAAGTAGAGGTGGTAGAGCAGAGATCATCAACCATTGTCAATTGGTGGACTGGAAGGGAGTGGGAAGCATTTTACATGCGTGCATGCACGCATGGGGCCGTGAGCACGCACATGTTACAAATGGGGTGGGGCTAGTGCCTGCGTGATACTAGCCCTGCCCCGTTCTTGCGTCATACAGTGCCTTGTACCTGTACCCCACTGTGCGGCAGTGGCCATTTTGCGCCTTGCAAAACGGTAGCCCATTTTTGCACCCCCAGTTTTTGCGTGCCAAAGGCAGGACTCAGAGGTGCCTCCCTGCCCCCCCCCTCGAAAGCACCACAATGCTGATGCGGCCCTGGCACTTTGCAATAAATAAGTGGGTTTTGGGTTATAGTTTGGGCACTCAGTCTCTAACAGGTTCGCCATTACTGATATAGTCTCTCAAATTCCTCTAGAATTTGCTATCAAATTAATTTTCCATGAAGACTATAATACATAGTTGGATAGTAACAATATTGATTGCATTAAATTATAATTAAATCTGTTTATAAAATAACAATTATTTTTACCCTGGCCTTTTATTTCAGGAATGCCAGCCTTGCCTCAGAAAAAGTTGCACTTCCCTTACTCCACACTCTATAACGTTTTTCCATGTGTAAGGATTGGTGCTACTCTTTTGCAGGGGATGGGTGGGTGATATGTACAGTGGACTAGGAACAGCAATTCAGCACTTTAAAGTATTTCTAGAGGCATACAATTAAGCTAAGTAGGATCTGAAACAAAGAAATACTGAGAAGTACTAAAGAAAGGTTCCCCAACTTTTAGTTAACAAGAAAATATATGAACCTTAATGAAATATGGAAAAATAACAATAAAATATGACAGTATTTAAAAAACAATAGTAACATTCCTTATTAATATTTTACCATTTTTCTTCACATGATACAACTTAAAAGGCAGTTACCTTTGTGTCAAGTGCTTTTTTAATACTGATTCTCCTTTGAATTCGAGCTTCACCTCTTTCAATTTGCGCCATGATCTTTTCTATGTCCTGAAGCTCATTACATCGTTCCCAGAAAACAGCTGAAGAAAGTAATCTATTAGTTTTGTCTCACATATTTGCAAAGTAAATCAAGTATTGTTCAGTTTTGTATTTTGATTTCTCTTTAGATCTAACATAATTCCTTCTTATATCAAGTCAGCATAACATGTCAACTGGCTTATGAGGAAGCCTTTGTCTTCCCAAAAGATGACATTTGTTCTGCTTCAACCATTTTGTGGTAGATCTGTTAGTTTAAGACTGTCATGCTGCATGAACCATATTAGTTTAAGCTTACTCTAACATTATCTTGTAGAATTTACCAGAGGACATTGTTGGGTAGTCTACTGGATCATCCAAGAATCTTTGGCAAACTCAATGCAGAATGCAGTGTGTGTTCAGAAGAATAGTGATTTCTTCCTTCTTCCTGAACATACTGTTCTTTTGTGGTATTTTCCTTTTTATAAAAGTTTTATTAATTTTTAAGAATTACAGTCTTTAGTGCTTAGTAAACAACATGTTGTCTGGGTTCAGATATTTAACATTAAGTTCTTCAATATAAATCTGTTCAATATTACAAATCCAGTATTTTTCCCCTGATCCTTTTTTCTCCATATTTTTTTCATTTTTCCCTCATTACACTGTTACAATTTTTGGTACTGTTAATGTATACAGAGTTAAATATAAGCATCTTCATCATATTTTACTAATATCATACAAATAATAATATCAATTCATAAATCAATTGTCAATTCATTAATCAATATCCTGTTTTTTGTGCTCTTGTTAAGGTTTGATTTCCCATCAATATTTGAAATATCTTTTATCAGTTATGATTTTCTCAATATTAATTTATATAGCTAAAAAATTTTATTCATATCAATCCTATCTTCATATTTCCCATATCAAAAAAAGAAAAAAAATGCTATCTTAGTTCTAAATCATATCTTTCATTATAAAAATCTAATTATATCTAAGGGTCATCCATTCTTTTAATCTTATTCAAACAAGTATTTAAACATATAATGCCCCCTCTAAAGGGTCAAACCTTCTGCTTTTTAAATCTGATTCTCGCTTTCTTTCTTTGCCCAGTAACTTTCTAAGCCAGGGCAATTAGATCTCTAGGAATTTTCTTTCTATTTTTGTAAAAATTGCTTGGCATAAGGAAGACAATTTAAGTAAGGTATTTGGGGGGGGGGGGAATTCCGCCCATTTATATTCCTTAAACAATTCCCAGTTCCTTTCTCCCTCCATTTCTCTTTTCATTCCCTGTCTCCCAAGTTGTGACATCTTCTTCCTTGCCATCAGATATATTTTGCAGACCTAAGGAGTAATAGCTAAGTCTTGCAGTATTTTGTTTGTATATAGTCATTTATATTTTCCTTCTTTTATCTCTTCCATCTCTAAATCCATTTCCTCTGTTTCGTCTTCTGATTTCTGGATTATTTGTTCATATTTTGTAGCCATTATCTGGGAACTTTCTAGCTGTAGATTTAATTTGGAGATTTGTTCATTTATATTGTCTAAATTGCTTTTAGCCTCATGATTTCTTTTTATGTCCTCTTTGCATTCAACAATTGTTTGGTGAATTAGTTGTAGCATAGAATATATTTCTTTCTGAAAGGTGTTTGTTTTTTCTTGAGCATCATTCCTGGAGATCCTCTAGTATCACCAGTCTTAGTAAGAGTAGTTCAAAGTTTTCTCTAGTTTTCTGGTCTTTATATGTATCTTTTATAATCCAATAGATTCCAAAGTATAGGTTCAGTCCTGAAAGCAGTATTTTATAGTGATCCTTTGTCTCAAGTATCCAAAAATTGTCAATCAGGCAAGGTTGCAATCCACAATGTTCAAAATGTTCAACTTCTCTGAAAACAGCTCAAAAGTCTCTCGCAGCCAGGCATAGTCCAAAGTCAAATTTTTCTTTCTCTCCCACTAGCTCTTGAAGTTAAAAGTCCAAGCTCAGTAGTTATTTATAATCCAAGGTCAGGGTGATAAGTATGTCAAAGTATCTTCCTTTATTGCCAGCTGTTCTCCCGAGCTAGGAATCACCAAGCAGCTAGGAAGCAAATTATAGTGCTATACACAAACCCACCACTAGATATCATTCAAAGTCCATTTTCCACTCTTAAAACAAAGGATTGATTTCTTATATTTCGCCTCAATGTTTTTTTTAAAGAAAAAATCTTAACAGTTAACTCAGTTCTCAAATTTATCAAAACTGTAGGTTTTTGTTACTTCCACTTCAGTGTTGTATGTTTCTTTCCCCCATAAAATTAAAATGCCGCTTCCGTTTACATTCGGAGATTTAGCTTCTTGGGAGCCTTTCCCAGGAAATTCAGTTGTAAAATAGTAAAAGAAGGATCAATATTCTCACCCAGTTCCAAACATGCTGTTTATGATGTATTAATTGGTGCTTTTTTCTTCTTCAGTTGTCAGCAGCTAATGGCCGGCCACAGGAATGTAGCCAGTTTTTCCCCTGCTGGTTTGGAGGGCTTTTCTTGGGTTGAACAGAAAGACCACCATCTCTCCGTGATCAACAAGGCACCCCCTCCTCTTCATTGCCTCTTTGGGTGATTTTAGGTCCTTTTTAGAGCCCCCAGCAGGGCAAAATAGGGCACGGAAGGCAGAGTCCTGCCTTCCTGCCTTCGCGTCCCACTGCGACGCAAACCAGAAGTCCTTTTGTGTTATTTTCCTTATGAACACTAATAAGAAAAAATACAATTGAGGCCTGCAGATTTTGTGCTTTATATCCTAGGATTCTTTAAGTTTGGCAATGGATTTGTAGCCTTTTTATTTTGATGTTTGAAGAAACATCTTTGATTTACTTCTGTAAGCCTCTCATAAAACACACCCTCTAACAGTGACAACTGTGTGTATTTTAAAAGGGATGGTCCTTCAAGTACCTGATTGTTATCCCACTGCTGGAACATCTGACTCATTTTACCCCATTAAGAGAGTTGATTATGATTATCACACTTTCTTTTCCAACAAAGAGTGTGAAAATTAGCTCAAAAGAAGATACTATTAAAAAGACTTAGATAAAGCCTTTATAATATGGTCATAATGCTGCAGGATTACATATAATTCTAAAGCCTTCACATGCTTTTATGTTCTTCAGAAGAAAATCAGATGGAATATAAAAGAAAAAGATGCCTATATTTTGGCCTGCTGAACTTGAACAGATGGATGGGGGCTGTACGGTACACACTGTACCTGGTGTTGGGCCCTATGATTTTGAGATTCAGGATGTCTGAATCAGTTGCCTTAATCTTCAAAGGCAGTCTAAAATCTCCAGAATCAATAGGCAAAAGAGCATTAGGAATGTACACCCACACTAAGCTTTGAAAATCATAAACATAATATCATTTTTCCAAGTTTTCTTTGATGAATGAATATCTTTGGATCAGTTGGCTAGTTGAATGCCAGCTTTTGAAAAAGTAAAATGAGTTTCTTTTGCACATATGTACTCATTGTTGTAATCTATATATTCTATTCATCTCCTTTGTTTATGGAGTGATCGGTGTGCACTTAAAAATGCACAAAAGGTTCTATGGTGCTTGACCTGTTAAGGCTTAAATTGTGTACATGCAGTGTTCATGCTCATTCTCCCAGAAGAAACTGATATTCTTCTGCAGATTTTTGGCAGCAAGCCAATGAAAGGGGGGCAAGAAGAGCAAATCAGCAAGTTAATCTTCAAATGTTGCTTTATTGTTTATATTAAACTACTATTTTACTGTTTACTGTGTACATTTTAATGTTATATTTATTATGGGTGTTTTATTCTTTGTAATCTTACACATACTATGGAAATGAATTGAGCGAAAATGGCAGCATATAGAGTTAAAAATTAAATCAACTATAGGATAGAAAGAGACAGTTCATGTTCCCAATTATCTGCTAAGCTTGGTTCAGAGGTATACAATTTAAACATTTATTTTAAAATATTGTAAAAGAAACATCATTTGTGTTAATGGACATTCATTTTTTCCCCAAAATGTGCTCCTTCCCTAAGGGGGTAATTGTTTCAACATGCTATGTGCAAGTTCTCTCTGCTGTCACTCTTTTTCAAAGAGAGCCAGCCCACTAATCTCTCCTTTTAATTACTTTCAATTAGCACCTTTCAAGGCAAAGGAAAAAGAATGAACTTAATTTTAAGGACAGTAGTACAAGAAGGTGAAATAAACACCCCCATAACCGACTTTTCAAAAGTATTTTAAATTATGCACCCTGCCAATTTTTATGCAGAGGATGGTTTGCTAGTAGCATACAGCACATGATGCTATCCTATTATAGCAGTCCTGCAATTAAAGGAGGCAAGAGGAAGTTGCATTTATGTGTGTGTGTCTCTCTCTCTCTCTCTCTCACTCTGTGTGTGTGTGTGTGTGTTATCAGTGTTTTAGTTAAAAAAACTATGGTTCTTGTTTTCACAAAACCACAAAACTGGTTCAAACTATGTTATGTTTAAAAGCAGCATCTTTAAAATATTGCAATAGTACGTTCCAGCAGGGTATTTTGTTTCTTCTGTCCTGTGCACATCTTAACTTTTATCAATGTTGTTTGTCCTTTTCTGAAGTTATGTTAGTTCTATATATCAGATCATAGATTCAGGATCAAACACATATATAATACTAAATCTATTTCATAAATTATAAAACTTCTTTTAAATAACAGATCTTGCTAAACAACTTCAACTGTGCATTAATTATTTTACAGTGCTTTAAACAACCAGCATTGTTTGTCTACGATGTGTATGTTTTTTGCAGAAAGTACAAGCATACACATCACCTTCATCTATCAAATATTTCCTATAATTTTTAGCACTTTCTCCTTTTTATTCAGTCCAATAAATTCAGCAGCATCTCCTGAACTTTTTTGGTAAAATGTTAGCAGGGTTTGTTTCTGTTGTCATGAACACAACTCTAAGGATTCAACCACTACATATGTCTCACTAAACAGTGTATCAGACTGGATTGAGAGTATATCTAATATAATATTATTTAAAAATTTAAAATGGTGTTACCAGAATATTCGATGACTTCCTCTGGAGTTTTTCCTTCTACTTCTCGAGCTATATTTTCAATGTCATCACGACCCCATTTTTCATTAGCTTTAATGAATTGATTGAAATCTCTTTTATTCCAGTTTGTAAATCCCTTGAAAAAAAAAAAAGAGTAATAAAGAAGGAATACTGTCCTTCTTTAATAGACCTGGTTCAATTGGGTTGAGCCATGTCAAGCTAAAGCTTGAAAAATTACATTATCCAGTTGAGGATAAACTGGATTCTTCTAAGAATTTTTAAACATGTTCCATAAACATGGATAAAATTTAGAACTAATGAAGTCTGAAATTCTTGCCTCCCTAGCTCGTAATCATAAATCATTTATGACTGAATAACGATCCTCAATTTCATTAAAATTCATTCAAGCTATAGTCATTTTCGTAATGTACAAGCTTGTACATTGTAATGTACGTACAGCAAGTACACAAATGTTCTGTAATGTCAACTGTACCTTCTCAGGGAGGAAATGCCCACAAACAATACTTTTTTCTTTTCTGGATTTCAACTCAAGGACAAAATAAATATTTGTTTATGGCATTTCTATGCTACTGTATCCAGCAAGCTCTGGCAGAAGCAATCTATGAATGATGGGACTTGTTTTGTTTCAATATTTTGGACTGCAAGAATAATGCATCATACAATACAAGGTGAACTAAAACCACACTGGTCTGTGGAAGTCTTAAGCCAATATTATTCTGACTCATTAAAAAAAAAGAAAGGCTAATATAGAAAACAGTGCAGTTGAACAATTTGAAGACAACTATGAAAAAAGGGGCCAACAGAGAACGTGACTTTACTGATTAAGCTTACAAGATGCAATTACTAACAGAACAATGTCCATCAAATTACAGAGTCATCAGTTGCTGACCAAAACTGGATTTCTATTTTGTATTCTTTTACATTAAGAACACTTTTTTTCCACAGTACCTACTAGAAAAGGAATTAAGGATAGTTTATAATTTGTCTAGCAGGTGGGGAATACCTGAGTAAGTAGCTTTTCCTTTTCATCTAGTTCTTCTTCATTAAGCGGTTCAGCTTCATCAATTTTAATTTGTTCTTCCTTTTGTGTCTGAGCTGCATTTGGCAAGTCAGGATTACGAGGTACCTAAAGAATTTATATTTCTATAAATAATCAATTCATATGCTCTAAAAACATTATAGTTTTATATATAAATCTCTAGTGACTTTACTCAAAACATGTGGTTTTATTGTCACATAGTAAAATTTAAAGAACTTTTTAAATTTTTAAACTGAAAAAGTAAAATATAGATAACTAGTACCTTATATCCAATAGTTTTTCTATAATAAAGAATTTCTTTTTCCAACAATTCAAACAAACGTGGAGGAAAGAATTGGAAATCCTGAACATTAGGTTGTTTTGGAGGTCGCGGGGCCTTTCAAAAAAGACACATTGCACTGTAATCATGATCACTTCAGTAACAGAAGTTAAGCAGCATTTAATTTCCGCATAAAATACAAACTACTTCCATATTATGCTATTAGCCCCCCTCCCCACTGACAGATACCAAGATGTGTTTAATTGTTAATTATTTGAAGAAAACTCTTTAATATCTCTCTCTCTCTCTCTCTCTCTCTCTCTCTCTCTCTCTCTCTCTCTCTCTCTCTCTCTCTCTCTCTCTCTCTCTCTCTCTCTCTATATATATATATATATATATATATATATATATATATATATATATATATATATATATACCGAGTGGTTTAATTTCCAATTCTGCTTGATTTATTTTCACTGTTTGCTATTATTACAAAACAAACAAATAAATAGGGAAAAATAAACAATGTAGTCGTAAGTTGAAATAAAAAGACAGCAAAAAATGATGACAAATGCAAAGCATATATTCACAGACACATATACACATATAAAAATTCTAAAACGCATTTCAATGAATGGAACTGATGTATGTTATTTTAGAGAAACAGGAATCTCAATCTATAGGGAAGAATCTTGAAAACCCTTTTCTATTCTAATCCTAATCACTGTCTGAAAGACATAGTTGGAAACAACTTTGATAAAGGTACAAATAAATCTGTTTAAAAAAATAAAAACAGCCTTAAATAATTCTAAATTTTAAAAATTTCATCAACACTGGTATGTATAAAACATTTTAGGAATAAATATACCAGCTTTTCTTCTAATTATTTTCTTCTAATTATTCTATTTTTAACAAGTTTCAATGACTCACCTTTGGTGCTTTTGGTTCACTGACACGAAGAGCTTCCCTAAAATAAGCATCAACAGCATAGTTGGCTTTTCTTTCACGTTTAGGTGGCTCAATCCATTCTGTGAATGCCATCTGCAACATGTAGTACTTTTAGAAATTTATATGGAAACATCATAGTTGTAAATGGACAGTAAAGTTAACATACTGAAGTAAGAGAAATAAATGCATTACCTTTTGTTTTTCTCTATAATCTTCTCCTTCAAAATTATACACACTAGACTCTGTATCCACTGTAAAGTTTCTGAGTGAACTTTCACCCATTTTGGATAGTTTTTCATTCATTTCTGCAGTCTACATATATAAACAGATTTAAATTAGTGTTTTGTAACAATCTGCTTCACCATCAACAGTCAACATGGTTTTCTGATAAAATCTGAATTAAGAGGATTAGCATAACTTTTTCTACTAGTTCCCAATATCCACTCACTTTCTTTGCACCTCTTTCCAAAATACCGTCAATGTCTTCATCTGTAATTTCACTGTCTTTTGAAGCAAAGACATGGGTAGCTCCATGTCGAATCATCTGCAACATTTCATCTTTTCCCAATTTATTCAGATTCTGATCTACTAGTCTACCTATATATATATATATAAAAGGGAATATTCTCAAGAGGCTGATAACTTCACAAAAAAGTTTTAAAAACAGGCATAACATGCAATTCTTTGACACTACAACATTTAATTTGTGTTTTGCAGCTAAAAAAGAATTTAAATTTTTTTTTCTGTACTGAAATCTGGAATGTGATTAAAACAATAATGGAATACAAAGCACATATACTTCGGTGGCAATATTTGACAAGTATTTGTTTAAGTAGCAACCTTTTATTATTCAAATGTAATTTGTAATGCTATTCCAGGAAAATGTGAGATCAAGTATTCATATTAAATATTAAATACAAGTTTCCAACATTAAACAGACATGTTACTGAATATTTGCACAGCGTTCGTTTTTCCTCATCTAACAATGTATAAAAACAGATAATTGTTTATGCTGGTGGATAAGACTTGCATCTTCCCTCAAAAATGTTTTATATCCTTCCAATTACTATTTACAATTAAAATTATAACATCAACTATTCTTAAATCAACATTCTAGATACATCTTTTCGTATCAAGCTTATGTCTATACAATACTTTGTGTGTATATTTTCCCATTACAGTACTTCGCAATCATTTTTTTATTTTGATGCATTTTTTCTAAGTTTGGATATATTTAGCTTATTGACCACATATGTTATTTAAAAACAATGGAATATTTTTACCTTGTTGAATAACTATGGAATCTAAGCGAAGTTTCATTTCTGCTCTTTCTACTATTCTTTCTTCTACAGTGTTGTCTGTAATAAATCTGAATACTCTAACAGTCTTTGTCTGACCAATTCTATGTGCACGATCCTATGTGATAGGAAAAAAGGAATACTCAATTCATAAAAATTACATTTTTGTATTATAAGCAATGCACAGTTGGTGAACAAATATCATTTCACTTGATTAACTTTTAGAAATCTAAATCTTCACAACTTAAAAATAATATGTAATAATTACTACTTATTTTAATGTAATAGTTTTTATCAAAAATTCAGGCGGACAAACAAGCATATTGCTGTATGTCCAATATCCCTGGGGAAAAAAGTCAGATTCAAACACAACATTTCATACTAATCAAGCTTACCATAGCCTGAAGGTCTACTTGTGGATTCCAGTCAGAATCATATAGAATTACAACATCAGCTGTAGCTAGATTGATTCCCAAACCACCAGCCCGTGTGCTCAGCATAAAAAGAAACTTTGAACTGTCAGGTTCGTTGTATGCATTAATGGAAGCCTGCAATAAAAAAAGTTGGTCAATTCACACTGAGTTTGAAGACAAATAAATAAACCTCCTGTTTCTACAAGCTTACTTGTCTTTCATCATGAGGTGTCTGCCCATCAAGTCTGCAATAGTCATAATTTCGCCACATGCAGTAATCTTCTAATATATCTAATACTCTTGTCATCTGACTGAAGACTAGGACTCGTGATCCTGTTGCACAATGAAAGAATTTTAAAAATTCACTTATTCACATAAATTCTTCTAAATAAATTTTATGAAGAACTGAAATAAATATACTTATAAAGTAACATACACCCTGAATAAACTTACTGTAGCAATTAGAAATCCTTGCAAAATTTATAACATATAATTAACAAATGATAGCAGATAATTTTTAAACAGAATTCTACAAAAATTAATAGCATCTTTATTTTTATGAAGAGTGAAAGCAATTGGGAACATTTTTTTGATTTTTATCCAATACTTTTCACAATAAGATGAAATAGTTACCTTGTTCTTTCAATTTTGGCAACAATTTATTCAAAACAACCATTTTGCCACTATTGGTAACCAAATGCATATCTGTTGTATAAGGTGGACCAGGTTCTGCTCCATCAAAAAGGTACGGATGATTGCAACATTTTCGTAATTGCATAAGAATGTTTAATAGTCTCATTTTATCCAGTTTTCCAGCAGAGTTCAATATATCTATATCCTTCATTAAGATTCTTGTGTACCTATATTGAAAGACAAAGACAACAAAGGCTACCAATTCTGCAGTAATGTAATGCAAATATTTCAAGATTTAATAATAAAAAGCAATCAGAAACATGGAGACATTATATTTATTCATATACTAGTTTTAATTACTTACAATTCCCTTTGCATTTTGCTGAGACCAACATATATTTTAACTTCTTTTTTTGGAGGCAAACTTTTCTCTACTTCAGCTTTTATACGACGTAACAAAAATGGTCGTAGTACCTGCCAATTATAATGCATAATATCACACAGTAAAATAACTGTATTTTATACTTCTGGATTAATTTTTCTTTCAAAAGTGTAAGTTTTCCAAGCTATATCTATCTAATTGTGGTTCCAAGGCCTTCATGCTTGCAAATGGAGAAACCTCAACTATTACATAACTTTTCTGGAAAGAAAGATAGAGGAAATTAGAAGTCCCAATGACCATGAAACTATTTGTGCTATTTCTGGACTTGAAAAATGTTGCAATATCTGCACCAACAGCATCTCAAGCAAAGTTTAGAGGCACATTTTATTACTTTCCAGGTAGAATACATAGAGATGCTGCATAGAGTGAGTTATGTAGTAAGAATAGACCAAAGTTAGTTCATTTTTTTAAAAAGAAACTCACCATATGAAGCCGTTCTACTAATTTTTGATCCCCAAGACAGTTGTTTGTATCGAACCATGAATCAAAATCCTGCATTAAAAAACATGCTTTAGAATCAAATAATTCATTACCAATAAATCAGCATTTAATGTACTATTCCTTATCCAAACATCTGTTAATACACAAACATAAGCATTTAACTATTATTATCTTCAGTTTAGTTTACCAAAATATATGTTTCAATTCTGATTTCTTGTTCAAATAATATAGGAATGCTGCTAGTATAACTCAGGTTGGCTGACATTCATGATGTCATCATTTGATATGAGATATATGAACATACTCCCGCTCTTCTCGCATTATCTATAACTTCATATGACACACTGATACAGATTATGGATAATATAATAATCCTTCTTAATGATTTTTAAGCCACAATTTGATTTCCAACTTATAAAGAAAATATAGCTATCAGAAGAGAAAAAAGTGAAATAGTACTAAAGTTAAGGCTGATTTCCAGCCTGCAAAACAGAGACACAGCATCGAACAGCATTATTCTCTGGGCATGACATAGTTATGCTTATGAACATAATCACTATCAATGATATAGTTATTTCTACCTTGCTAGAAATGCTTCTTTTTCAAATACTTTTAACAGTTTTTTAAGAATTATTTTATTTTCAATTTTCAATATTTATATATTTCATATTGAACAGCTCAGTGCCATAGTCGAATCTATTGTCCACAGTATTATTATTAAGTCAGTTAATAAATTCCTGCAGGACTGTTGCTGCTGCTTAAAATTATTTATACTTGCCAAGAAAATACTTCTTAATCAAGAGACAAACCTGTACCTATGTTCCCTTTTAATTACAGTTTTCCAAATGAGCATAATTTTCCTATTTCTACTGTATTAGCAGTCGGGATATAATTACTTTGATCAGAATCACTGAGGCTTCACAACAAACTGCTTACCAATCAATTCATCTACATAAATGTCATATAATCTTTTGTGAATGTATTCAGCCATTAAACTTGTTTAATGTTGTTGCCATTAAACTTCACAAATATTTTCATACATTACCTCAGCTGAATTAAAGACATCTGGCAATAAAAAGTTAAGAAGTGCCCAGAGTTCGTGTAAGTTATTCTGTAATGGTGTTCCAGTTAGCAATAACCTATTTGTAGTCTTGAATTCCCTCACAATTTCTGACAACTGAAAGAAAAATAATTATTATAAACATCTGACAGGAAAGCAATCTGCAAAATTTAAATTCTTACCCTAATTGGGGTATTTAAAATTACCTTCGATTTTTCATTTTTAATCCTGTGGGCTTCATCAATAACTAGGTATCTCCAGTTAAATTTTTTGAATACTGATTTCTCTTTAATGAGCATTTCATATGATGTTACACAGACATCCCATTCACCTGGCAATAAAACATCTCTCACGAAAGCAGCCTTAATCAGAGAAAATATTGAATTAAACATTTTAAAGAAAGAAATAATCAATACTATATCATAGAATGTGTATTTTATGGCTAGTTATCATCAAATACATCCACCCGTGACCCTGATAATTCAAATCTATTACCTTGTTCCCCAACATTACATATATTATAATCTTAATGTACTGAGCAAACTCATGGTAATTTGTAACTGTGCAAATAGCTAATGCAGAAATTCACAAACTGTGTTGCACCCGCCTTCTGACCAGGTTTTCCAACAGATCATGGCAAGAGAAATGGTGTATTTTAAAAATAATATGTAATATCCGTCCTAATATTAACTAATTTAAATTAATAAACATAGCAATAAATTTCCCCTAATTCCTGCATAATTAGAAAGAATTAAATCAAGAAACTGTAAAAAATAACCTATATTCTTTATTTTAAAAGTTTAATTAAATAATAATTCCTAACTGACAGAACACTGTTGTGTAATAGAAAATTTCAAACAATGACACTATAGCAGTCTTAATGTTTTCAATATTTTTATTTTGGCATCTGACAATATGTAAATATGCTTTTTAATTATCATTAAATGATATCGAGGTTATCATCTTCCTTATAAACAGGACTTAACCACATTTAAAAAGAAACAAAGCAATTTGATTTAATTCATGTGGAACCTCAAAACCAATAAAAATACAGTATATTTCCTTATTTAATAAACCAGATTAAATTATAAAAATGTGCCAATTAAGAAACCATAAATGAAATTTAAAAACCACCTTAGGAAAATGAGAATATTAATCTAAAAGCATTTATGTCAGCTAGAAATAGATTTTAGTTTAACTTCCAATATTGTACACAAAGTTTAAGCTGTATAAAATAGCAATAGCAATAGAACTAAAACTTCTATACCACTCCATAGTGCTTTACAGCACTCTCTGAACGGTTTACAAAGTCAGCATATTGCCCAAACAATCTGGTCATTTTACTGACCTCGGAAAGATGCAAGGCTAAGTCAACCCTGAGCCCTCAGGATCGACCTCCTGGCTATGGGCTGAGTTAGCCTGCAATACTGCATTCTAACCATTTTATCATCATGGCTCCTGGCAAAAATGCATTTGTCAAATAGAGATATAACTACTAAGAAACTTTAAAATAATTCATAATGTTTATTGCTTGGTGGAATAAGACACAGTTAGACTTTATTTAGTGACTTCCCCATCAAGTAATAATTTGAAGTTATGATGGTGATAAAATGTAACTTTACGACCATCACAGTACTGCTCCAGTCATTGACTGCCATTCAGGTAGTTTTCAAGCAGGAGTTGTTTACAACTGTCATAGTGTCTAAGATGTGATCACCAATTGCATACTTCACAATCTATTTCTGATAACCAGAATCAATAGAATAGCCAGCAGTAAATCACAAGTCATAGTCAAGTGATGTCTCATTTAATGGCATTGTAAGTCTGTCACCATCCATATGAAATTTCACTTACCAATCCACAGTACTTTACTACAGACAAGGTAGACTAATTGTTCCTAAACATATATATGACTAGTAGAAACATACTCACTCGCTGGTCTTTGTCACCTATCAGACATACTGCTCGAAGAGTTGGCACCCATCTCTTGAACTCATTCATCCAATTATGCAAAGTTGATTTGGGAACCAATACCATATGAGGACCTGGAATGTTCCTGTAATGTTTCATGTACCCAAGAAGAGAAATTGTTTGCAATGTCTTTCCAAGACCCTGTTAACAATGTATATATACAAAAAGTTAATTTGTATCAGGAAGCAAGATAAATACATATGTAATTTGTGTGTGTGTGTGTGCGCGCGCGCGCACGCGCGCGTAAGGACACCAAATTCTCATGGGTAGATTTCAGCAACAACTAAATACAATTTTAACACCAATCAATCCAGTTGTCTTTTATCCATCTTGGAATTGTGTGTGTGTGTGTGTGTGTGTGTGTGTGTGTGTATCAATATATTAAATTTAGAAAATGTATGATCCTGTAAGCATATATATTTGTATCCCGTATCATAAAATCTTCCTGAAAGTGCTATAAGGATTGTTAGATTTTCTTGGGATAAGCTTCTCTATTATCAGAAGACCTATTTTCAAACAATCATCTCTAGTTAGAACATTAAAAACTATGCTACTCTATTTAACACTGGAATATTATCCTTTATAATAAAAACATTATGTATTCAGAATTTTAACTATGTAGGAAAATTGCAACCTGAAATGTCATGCTCAAAACATAAAACCCAGACAACTCCAGAACATAAAATAAAACATTCTGCAATTCATATAGTCTTTACAATCAATTGCTCCTGAAGCAAGACTAACTTAGACAATGATTCTATTCAAAATAGAAAACCTTCACAGAAGCCAATCAAATAATTACATAACATTCCTTAGAAAATATATCTGATCTTATTTTTACAAATACTTAAAAAGCCAATTTTTCCCAAATATTTAGATTCAATACCACTAGTCAGAACTAATTACATAAAATAAAAAATAGTTTACTTATCTAACTACCAAATCAAAATTTGTTATTAGAATGATCACTTATTTTTTTAAAATCTGAACATATATCTGGTACTATTAGGCTTTTTACAACTATATCATTATCTTTTACATTTATATAGACCTGACTATAAAATCTACAACCAGAAATCCTACATTTTGACATAAAAATATTCTTTGCTTATTCTATTTTGAATTAATTCACTGTGATTTGTATTTCATGCTATTATACAATTTATAACCAATTTCAAAATTTAACAACAGTTCACCACAAAGAAACCTGGACAAGCTTGTAATAATTAAAGTTAAATGTTAATTTTCACTTTAATTCTAAACAAAATCAGCTTTCCGCATACCATTTCATCTGCTAAAATACCATTGATGCCATTTTCATACAAAGAAATAAGCCAGTTCAATCCTCTGACTTGATAATCACGCAATTTACCCCATTTCACATCTGCAAAAAGAGACAGAAGCAGTACTGTAATAATAAATTTAAAATCACATCATATTTGCTTCATAGTAAGTATTCCCAATATTACAGAAGAAAGGATATTCTTATCCATATTCTTAACAGAATAAAATGCAGAATGTTATGACATCGTGACTAAATTAAATGTATACAAATTCATTGGTAACTCAGGATTGTTCTCATGTCTACCAACTAGTTGCAATGTTTGCAAAACAAATGTTCACCAACATCAGAAACAGTAGTACAAATGAATAAAAATATTGACTGCTCTACAAAGATTGATCAATCGAAAACTAAACAATGCTATTTATTTTCTATTTGAAAAGAAATGCCATACACTTATGAAAACAAATTATCATAGCATTTTGATATACCTTGATAACAGGATAAACAAATTATCGTAAGTTATTAGATAAAAATGCCTGAACGTACTTATTAGCAAAAAGCTTTGAAAGGTGTATAACTTCTGTCCCACTATGAACTGTCTATTCTCAATCACCAGAAATGATACTCCATTAAAGTATTCATTAAGAAGTAGCAAACAACAAATCTCTGAATTAGTGTTATATATGGCAGACATTCAAAATCAAGAAGGAAAAACACATGAACATATATTTTAAAATTATATAACTTTAAACCCTGAAATTTCTGTTTTACACATATTTAATTAGTAGATTTAGTTTGCACATAATTTCTCTGCAGTATTTCTAGAACAGAGTTCCCCAACCTTTTGGGGTTGGCGGCCCAGAGCAGGGAAAGGGATGATTTTATGTTGGGTGAACGCATCCGTTCACATGAATATCCGTTGCTCACGTGAGTGGGGACACAAGCACTTGTGTGAGTGAGCGGTGAATGCCTGTGATGCTTATGTGAGTGGGGCATTGAACACCCACAATCCTCATGGTAACACTTGCTCAAATGGGGCCAGGAATGCCCACACTGCTTGCGCAAATGGGTCCACAAACACCCATAATGCCTGCAGCGACTCTGGTGCAAGTGGGGCCACGAACACCTGTGAGAGTGGGACTGTGCGTGTTCCCAACTGTGCACCACTCCTGTGGTCCGGTGGCCTGGTAGTGGGCCACAGTCCACAGTTGGGAACCCCTATTCATGAATTTGATACTCAATTTAGAATCCAGTTTGGAAATATAATCTGTTGTAGAAAATTAAAAACACGTTCCCATTTTTTGTCAGAAATGTACTCCTTCAAAAAAATAAGTTTTCTTTCTATTAAAAGTTGGATATAATGAATAAAAAAGTAAAGCATTATGGAAGAACAAGTATATTTAAAAGTTTGCATGCAAAATTTTATTCAAAATACCAGTGTGAATATTTTCTAATCTGTTGTAGGAAGATTTGTTTTGAAAGGAAGCATATAACATTTCAAAAATATAGTAATTTGAGTTGGATAATATTGGCAAATGTGTGAATTCTATTATATTAAATGAGCAAAGTAAGTATCAAAATCTTTTAATTTTGGACAGTTCACAAAGTATTACATACAGGATGGAGAGTCTTCAAATCGAGTGCATACATTAGTAGTCTTGGAACTTTCTGTTAAAAGCTCCTCATCTTCTTCCTGTTCAGTTCTACGATGCCGATAGCTAGAAACGATAGAAATGTTAAGAAAATAAACAGTAATTATTGTAGATTCCAAAACAAGCCAAAATTTTACAGTTAACAGATATTACAAACTGTTTAGCTAAACTCTTATTTGGATGAAAAAAAAATGCATCCATCAAAACTTTTTATACTTTTCAATCCAATACATGCTGAAAAGCGTTTATGTAATAGGATTCATGACATTGTCCAAGTTATTACTCCCTAAAAATTCAAATTATTGGAAAACATTTGGTTGGGGGAAGAAGTAAATAAATAATAAGAAGTAAATTATTATTATTTTTAAAAAATGGTTATTTGAGGCCTGAAGAGAAAAACAATCAATTAAAAAAATTCACAGTGCATTTCATGTGAGAGGCAGCTATTCACAGTTCAAGATGCTATTGGCTAATTCTCCATTCTTCAGCTTATTTTTTTCCTGCTTCCCAAACAACTATTATTAATTACAACTATTACTATGCTCTGTATGGTTCTTCTATACTTTGTCGTTTTCAGAAAGTATTAATGACTTTTTTCCCATTTCTAAATCATCCAATCTCATCACAGCACATTGCTATGTCAGTTTTCCTTCTTTCAATCATGTAAACCAGAAACTGAACTAAGATCATGCCTGCAATTTCATTTGATTCTGAAAATATTCAAAGCAGCATACATGGAACTCTATTAGGAAAAATTTGCTGCCCATTCTAATGAAAGGCTGATTTTTATTTCTCTCCAATTCAAAATTAGGAAGGGTATCACATGCCGAGAAAAGGATAATCAAAGATGGGGTCCTGGAAATTGTTAAGTTTTAAAATGAATACTGTCCAATAGATACTGTCAAAATCACAGGAACAGACATATATTTGCACATTTATTTATTGTATTTTAAGCTTCTTTTTTAACTTATTTCCCTGTCTAATTTCTTTCCTATTTTCATCTCTTCACTATTTTATTTTTTTTAACCTTGGATTAAAAGACAATCCATTACAAAGTCTCTAGATGATAGATATAAACCACGTTAAAATAAATCCACAATAAATAGATATTCCTATTTAAGACATTAAATTAAAACTTCTCACCAACAACCAACTAGACACTGTTAAAAGCCAGACAAAAAGGGTATCTTTTAAAAGTTTTCTGAAACATCACAACAACAATAATAACAATAATAATAAAGTTGGAAGGGATCTTGGAGGTCATCTAGTCCAACTCCCTGCTCAAGCAGGAAATCCTATATCCGTGGTGGCGAACGTATCACAGGTGGCATGCAGAGCCCTCTCTATGGGCATGCGTGCTGTCACCTCAGTCCTAGGCCTTCAGCTGGGTTTTATAAAACCTTTTCGCTTTAGGCCTCTGCCGCCTGTGCAAAAAAAAAAAAAAGGTTCAATCTATCAATCAATTTCAACTTCTCACGGGGGGGGGGGGGGGAATCTCTCAAAGTTGGAACTGAGATTCCCTCTTCTTTGTGGCAGCCCCTGAGATATTGGAACACTACTATCATGTCCCCCCTCGTCCTTCTCTTCATTAAACTAGACATACCCAATTCCAGCAACCGTTCCTTATATGCTTTAGCCTCCAGTCCCCTAATCGTCTTTGTTGCTCTTCTCTGTATTTTTTCTAGAGTCTCAAGATCTTTTTTACATCGTGGTGACCAATACGATCGGATAGAAGGTATTGCTTATACAAAGTATTCCTTATATCCCAGACTGAAGAGTTTCACGGTGAAGAGTTGCGGAGGCGCAGTGATTAGAATGCAGTATTGCAGATTAATTCTGCTGACTCCCAGGAGTTCGATCCTGACCGGCTCAAGATTGACTCAGCCTTCTATCCTTCCGAGATCAGTAAAATGAGGAGCCAGATTGTTGGGGGCAATATGCTGACTCTGTAAACTGCTTAGAGCGGACTATAAAGCACTATGAAGTGACATATAAGTCAAAGTGCTATTGCTATTCACATATATGGCTCTATCAATTCTCACCAGAGACAGACCTCCCCAGACAATTTAAGTGCAATCTATCCTGATGTCTACATATTTGTATTCAATCGTGATCTACCTTTGTGTTTCAAATTTATTTATTTAGTTGCATGACCCCCTTTGCACATTACAATTGAAAGGCACTAAAAATATTTTACAATAACACATTTTCAGAATAAATATAACTCTGTTGGTACTCACTCGCCAACAGATAACAGATTTTGTTTTTCATCTTTTTTTATTCTTGGTCGTCCTGGTTTCATTTTTAAGGGTGAGGTTGGAGTTTTCTGAGCAGCAGGCTGAATGAAATGTGCAAACAATTCTGTCTGCTTCAACAGATATTCAAATCTGTTTGCTCGATCAGTTTGCTGCAATAAAGTTATAAAAATTAGCAAAAAAGCAAGAAAGATTATATGAAAGAAAATCAAATTCTAGAATTTTCAACATTTGAAAAACAATTATAATGTGAGGCAAAACCAGAAAATACCATAATTTAGCATCCAATCTTTGAGAGAGTCAAGGAAGCTTTCTGATTACAATGACACTGCTAGAAACTATGTGGCTGAAAACTGGGGGGTGTCAACAGACTTTGAAGGAAATTTAAGAGTACAAATAGGAGGTGGCTTCTAGAAAATGAACTGCTACTATTCCCATTCTTAAACCCCCCCCCCAAAAAAAAACATTGATAAAACATCAAGCCTATTTGAGAGATCAGTCCAAGTTTCAGATGCTTGGCTGCCCAGTGCATGAACCAAACTATCAACTCCTGAAGTAATCATCGACACTACAATGTTTATTAATACAAAATACCTACCATTTTTTCTTCATATGTAGGATCTGGTTCTTGATTTTCTTTTTGTTTTCCTGGAGATTCATCACCAACTAGTTCCTAAGAACAAATGAAATCCTTACTATCTTTTCACATTTTACCTTTACAAACATTAAGAAATCCAAACTACATACAGCAAAGTTGATAAACCACATGAGTAAAACATATTCTAAGTCAAGGCTTTTCAACCTTTTTACCGATTGTACCACTTTTAGGATATGGCAATATTCGAGTACCACCTAGCAAGGTGTCAAAAACTTGGATGACCCAAAAAAAAAAAAAAAAAAACTGTTCAAAGTTGCAATTGCACTGAAGTGACTTATGACCATTTTTCATACTTATGACCACTGCAGCATGCCCAGGGTCATGTGATTTATATTTGGATGCTTGGCAACTGATCCATATTTATAATGGTCACAGTGTTCCAGGGTCATGTGATCCCCATCTGCAACCTTTTGACAAGCAAAGTCAATGGCAGAGCTGCTGGTGGCCAAGTGCTAAGGCGGGACTTCCTTTCCTCCCTCCCTTCCCTGCCTCCCTTTTTCTCATTCCCATCTCCTTCTGAAGGAAGAATTTGAACCCCCCCCCCCATATTTTCTCTCTTCCATATATTGATCAAACAAGGAAAGGCCTCCAGAGACTGAAAAGACAAGCTGCTGAGTGAACTAGCTTAAAAAGGCTAGTTAAGAATTAGCTACTGGCTAGAAAGGAAAGTAAGGGGAAAAAATGTCAGTACTGGCTGCCGGCTAAGGCAGCCTCCCCAAATGGCTCCATTCATAAGTAAAGGAATGCTACAGGTAAAATCCATTCAGGAGAAAAATACTTCAAAATCCCTTGCAGCAAAACTTACGGCTAACAACAGCACAGCAATAGAAGCTAACATGAGACATCAGCCATCAGCCAAATAGAAATTGCTAAACACTCCTTAAGAACACAAAGCCCACATTGCACAAATCCCAGAACTTCAAAGTCACAAAAGTACATAAGAATCCTTCCTCTCCATCTCCGTCCCTCCCTCCTCCGTGCCTCCAGCCATTGCTGCCTTTTTTCATTCCTCTTGGAGGGCAACCTCTCCCCTGCTGCATTTTTTGCCTGTTTGCTGCTGCCAGCACAGGTGGCTGCCACAGCAGTTGTAGATCAGCTCATGGCCAGCCTGCTTGATCTCCTCTCTTTCTACCCCCCCTCCTCCTCCTTCTCTCCAGCTGACTCAACCTCCTCCCAAGGCTGTTGCTTTTTTCTCTCCCTCTTCTGCCCAAACTGCCTCCTTTTATAGCCTCTCCTGTCTCCACCCCCCTCCTCCTTTCTCAGGGGGGAGGGTGAGCCAGAAATGAGCCTGGGGCCTTTGCAGCTCCAGAGGACTCTCTCACTGTAAGTCCTTGCCTGTGCTGGCTCTTTTCCTCCCCCACTACACTTGGCTAGGCAGGGCTGCGTACCACCTGCCGCTCAGTAATGTACCACAAGTGGTATGCATACCACCCATTGAAAAGCCCTGTTCTAAGTGGTACAAAAGTAATGGCTGCACACAATGCAGTAATAATATTATAAAAATTAAATTATATAATAAATATAAAATTACAGTAAAGTTATATATTGTGTTGTGTTGCATTGTGCTGTGTTGCATTACATTACATTAATACTCTTGCCACTAGGAGTTCTACAGCATCAAATTCCAAAGACCATCCAGAATAGCCAAGTTTTTACAAGACTTTGGAAGACCAGAATAATGAGAATTACCCTTGCCTCACAACAGGAATGTGTGTGTCAGAGAAGAGAGCCCATTTTTGAGATGTTACCTATCTTGGGTAATGAAAGCAGGTTAGTGAAGAAATGCTTTCGGGAAGAGAGAGGAGCCGGATGGTGGTGCGTCAAACTCTACAGCAGCGCCAGGAGGAGAAGTGGCAGGAAACAGGGCTGCCATTTCCAGAAAAGAGAAGGGAGAGGCGGGACGATGTAGAACAGCAAGCAAGTGCTCTTGCCTGCTCTGCATCACTGCGCAGAGCCGCTCCCCTCTCCGTTATCCATTCACTCCAATGGCAGCGATGGAGGGCTGGCGGCGAGAAGCTTGCACTGCCCAGTCACGGTGCAAGCCACAGGAGAGTTGGTAGAGTAGGAGGACTCAGTTGCCACCAAGCAGGTGATATGATGGCCGAATCACGAAAAAAGCCCCTCCAGTGGCGAACAGCAGCAACAGAGCCTTTTGCCATCACTCCCCCAGGCTCCAAAATGACGGAGGGGGACTGGGCCTATCTCGCCCATCCTCCGTAGCACGGTAGTCCGGCTCGGGAGGGGAGTGAAAGGGAAGGTCGCCAAGAAAGGAATGGCTTGGCTGGGGGGGTCCAGAAGTAAGTGGGTGCGGGGCATGTGGGGCAGCTCCACATCCCTCCCCCACCTGCCTTGCCTCATTGTGATGGCAGCAGCACCACACGTGCTCTCCTGCCCCATTGCAGCAGCAAGGTGGGACAGAGTGGGCAGGGTTCCAACTAGGGCTTATTTTAGGCCCACTCCCAAAAATCAGGGTAGGTCTTATTTTGGGGGTAGGTCTAATTTTGGGGGAAAATCACACGGTATGTGTGATTAACCTATTAACCTAAAATCGGTTCTGATGTTGCTGTTTTACTAAATTGACAGCTTATTATTCTAAATGGGAAACCTTCATTTTGTTTGCAAATAATAATATTAAAGATTCTAACTACCAGCAAGAATGAGTCCTTATATTTAAAGAGCACCTGTCATTTCAGATCCATAATGGCAGCGCCTGTTAGTGGGCATCCACTCACCTGCTGCCTGCCACGTCCCTCACCTTGTTGTGTCACTGGCGCATCACCAGCCATCCCATTAAAGTGAATGGGACTGTTGTTGACTCAACAGCAGGTCAGAGGAGGAGCTGCTGTGGGACAGAGATGACAGCTGCTCTTTAAAAATTATGATTTAAATCAAGTTGATTTAAATCAAGCCTTTTTACTAGTGATTTAAATCGAATCCACCCTGTCATTTAGTGATCCAAGTTACAACTGCATTGAAAAAGTGACTTATGACCATATTTCACACTTATGACTATTCACCATCCTCGTGGTCACATAATCAAAATTTGGACACTTGGTGACTAGTTCAAATTTATGACGGTTGCAGATTCACTTAACAACTGTGTTACTAACTTAACAACTGCACTGATTCACTTAATAACTGGGGCAAGAAAGGTAGCAAAATGGATCAAAATTCACTTAACAAATGTCTCACTTAGCAACATAAATTTTGAGCTCAATTGTGATCATAGGTCGAGGACTCCAAGATGTGCAATATATACAACAGACAATATTAATTAGGTTCTCTATCCCTACAGAGTTAGAATACTAATAAGTCTAAATACTGCTTCTGATTGTGTTTTAAGTTTGTAATATGACTTGGCTGTTATTAAGAATAGCAAGCCTCTTTTATGGTTATAAATAGCCTAGAGTATGCAGATAGGATAACATATAAAAGTAAGTATTAAATAAATAAAATGTATAAGCTAAGATGTACAAACATAAACCCTTAATGTAAATTTGTAATTGTTCAGAGTGAATTAACATTTTTCCTTTTACTTTCTACTAAAATATATTATTTGAAATTGCATAAAATCAGTAACTAATTATATAAAACATATTATAAAAATTATAGTCTTTAACATTTAAAAGGGACCGAAGTGAAAAACTGTGGACTAAGTCATGAGTTAACTTCAGACAGTATTTAAGTAGAGATTGTATGACCATGAGATTTTATTGCCTTGAATTGACCAAAATGTATTTTTAAAAGGGTGGAATAAAACATAAATAGCTAGAAATGCTTGATTAACAAGTCCTACTTAATTTGTAGAAGTGGATATAAATAATTCCTCTATCCTAAACAAGATTATGCATCAATTCATTATTTATCTTTCAAATATATGTGATTTAATGTGATTTATGAAATTTATACATTCTTGATTTATGCTACCAATTACATGCTTGGAGTTTCATATCCTTATCTTATTACATTACTAAAAACAAAATTTAAAAAACACATGATTCAAACAAGTTTGTTAATGTCTGCACAGTCCAATTAAAATTACTATCTTCTAGTTGTAAACACAGATGCAGCTGCAATTCTAAATACTTTTTATAACTACATATATACTTTAGCAGTACTTGCAAGCAAAATTGCCTGGAATCCATCTACAAATATGTTGTATTTCCTGATTTATTTCAGATTAATAGACTGCTAAATACAACCTTTAGCCTTCCCAAAATGTACGGTAGTCCTTGAGTTATGAATGAGCCTGTCCGGTCCAATTGTAACTCAAGGATCCATAGGAGTGAATGGCGTACCTTGAACACCATCACTCCCTGCTTTTCTCAAGGCCTTTACTGATGAAAAGGCTGGGAGCGACACGCGCCTCAATCCAGAGCTCCATTCTTGGCAGCACAGGTTTTTCCTCAAGGCCTTTGCTGGCAAAAAACGGAGGCCAGGAACAACGCGCACATCAATTCGGAGCTCCACTCTCAGCAGCAAAGGCTTTTCCTCAAGGGAATAGCCAGGGTAAATGTTGCAGTGCCTCTGCGGTCGTTAACAAGGGTGAACAACGACTGCCATGGTGCTGCAATATTCATATTTTCCGAACTCGTTTGTAAACACTAGAGGGCGCTTATCACATAACTTTGAACACTTACTAAGGGAACGTTCGTAACTCGGGGATTACCTGTATGTTACCTGTTTTATTTTTAAATAACATAACTATATACTTTAGCAAAAAATACAAAAGAAAAAGCCCCTATATTAATTTTCTAAGAACAATTACAAAGTTACCTTCAGGGTTTGTGTGTTTTTGTACATTTTAACTTTACTTTTAGTCTTTGCAAAGACTAAAGTCTTTGAGCAAAAATCTCAAAATACAATAAACCAGGTGGAGCCCTAGACAATTGGAGAAGGGTTGTTTCTCGTGAAATGCACATGCGCCAGGAGGAACTGAGTACAAATGACTTTCCACAATCAAAAGCAGTTGTTTCGGGGCCTGGCAACAGCATTTTTGACGTCTACACATCCTAATCGCAAAACAAGAGAAGTGGCCTCGACAGGATTACCGCATCAACTACTCAAAGCGAAGGCCTCTCAAGCACCAACCAAGGGAGCCTCCAAGCTCTTGAAGCTAACGCGATCGGAGGCTTGCAAGAGCAGCCAGGGCTGCACCGGGCTACAGAACGTAACAATCTCGGCGCCGCTGAGGGCGCAACGTTGAATGTTTAAAGGCTTATGAGCTCTGGAAGGACACTTCGCTACAAGCACGGCGCGTGGCCGATTCCACTTGTCTGGAAACCCGGTTCCACCAGCAGCCCAGCCAGGACCGCACCGATGGGGCTTTTGCAATAGAAGAGGCGCAGGACAAGGAGGCGAATAGATAAGACTCGGCGAACCTTCCCTGATCAAGGCTCAGCGGCTGGTGGGCACAACAAAAAGGCAGCGGAGGCGGCGCGATTAAACCGGAGAAAGGTTCTCGCTCCCATCGGGATACGCGCGCCCATTACTCCTCCGCCACGCGGGGAGTCCGCCGGAGGCGCCGCTCAGCTGGGCTAGAGGAGCTTCAACAGTCGCTCGCTCTTCCTATTGTCTCCGGCGTCAACGCCTCGATCCCCGCCCGAGAAACTCGGTCGGAGAAACTCGGCGGTTACGAGCGCTTTCCCAGATTCGGTCCGAAGAAACGGCCGAGGTTCTTTCCCCACGTTGCCCGCCGCCCTTCCCTGCTTGCCTCAGCCGGCGAGAGGAACCTGCGGGTCGCCCCCACGGAACCCGTTTTTCCAGCCACCGAGTCCTCTTACCATTCCTTCGTCGCTTATCCCGGGCACCCCCTCGGCGGAGGCCGGGGCCGCTCCTGTGGTCTCCATGCCGCTGGGAAGCGAATTGGTGCCCGAAAGGGAGCTCACGTTCTCGTTCTCCGGTCCCAGCGCAGACATCATGAACACCGTCCGGGGAGATGAAAACGGCGAAGGACGCCGAACTCCCAACTCCTGCTTCGAAACACAGAACTGAAACGAACGGAGTTCTCGCCGATTCTCTCCGCGCGACTCGGGCCGGGCTCTTTTCTTTCTCTTCTTCTTTTTCTTTCAGGCCCCTCTCTCCGCTGCCGCCCCGGCTTTCTCAACGCGGTCCCACCAACCAGGAACCGAGCCGGCTCTCGAGTCTCGCGAGACCTAGCCTCGCGGCCTGGGTGTGGAGGAAAACACGGACGGGGGGGGGGGAACAGAAGAAGAAGAAGAAGCCTGTTCTGGTTCTTACATTGGCTGAAGTCAAGGCCTGATTGGCCAATTAAAGCAAGAAGGTGGTTCCTTTGGCCCCCAGTGTTCGGCATTTGGGATAGGAATGGGTGAAGTTTGCCCAAGCGACCACAACTGGGACCGGGAATCTCCTTGCGTCATTAAATCGGGGCGGGTCTTGTAGTTCTGTTGCAACAAAAAAAGAGAAGTCGAGGTGCCGGAGGGTTAGCTCGGAGTTTCTCAGTCAGCAACTTTGAGATGTGTGGACTTCAACTCCCAGAATTCCCAGCCAGCCCTGCATTAAAATCCACACTTCTTAAAGTTGTGAAGTTTGAGAAATATTGGTAGCCTTTCCAGGTCTTCCAAAGATTTTAGTAAGAATAAAATGGGAGATTTGGAACCATGACCCCCGGTATTTTTTGCGTCTTGGCAGAATGCGCTGCAGGTTTTTCTTCATTTCCGATCTGGAAAATACTGGCACGTTTTCACGAAGACTTCAAAACTTAGGACGGTCGCAGGATTCTTATAGTAATATCAAAGTTTAATATAATGGACACTGTTGGGATACCTGTGGGTTGCTTAGAATTTGTTCATTTAAAATATTAAGGAGTCTGGCCAATAAGGCTGCAAAAATCCAGAGGGCCATTAAATAGCAGATTTCTCTCGTTTAAAAAAAAAATCTGCATTCATTTGGTGCTATCGAGAGGTTGCAGGCAGATTTTTCAGAGGCTATATGGTATGGTTATGTTACAACAAAGACTTAAAATGCAATAAAGCTTTTCAAAGTAAAATATTATAATCTGTATGGTTAAAAACAAATATAACCAACAAAACTGTAGAATAACAACATATCAGTTCACAGTATTAATATACTGTTACATATCTGCTAAAAGACAAATGTAAATTTAACAGGTTAAAAAAAAACATTTTACAAAAAATAATTGTTTGACTCCATTCAACCTAGGTTAGATCTTACTTTGAATATTGTGCTAGTTCCAGGCATAATTTAAAAAGTGTTTTAAACAATTGGAACATGTTTAAGATATGTAAACTAGAAATTATCAACAGAGTTTTTAAAAATGGGAGTTTGAGAAAATAATAGAATAACAGAGTTGGAAAGGACCTTGGAAGCCTTCTAGCTCAGGAAATTCATTTCAGATGAAGGAAGGGCAGGATATAATATTCAGGTACTCCAGAATTTCATAAAGATGAAACTCAAGATTAATCATTCAGAGTGCAGACACCGACTGATGATTTTAAGTTTCAGAAATACATAGTCCAATTGAATCTTGAACGAAATTCTTTGCAGTAGGGAGTTTGGCAAGTGAAACAGTTACTAAGAGAAATAATAAAAAAAAAAACTTCTCTGAGTATGCTCTGGCAGAAGTGGAACAGACTTTTATCAGTATTTCTGCACTGTGCTGAAACCTGCTGCCTGAATGACCCATTTCGGTTCTAAATTTATGAATATCTTGAGTTGTTTATATTTTTAAACTATCAGTTATAAAACTACTATAGGTAGGTGGATAGTGAAAAGGTTTATCAAAATTACTACATATGACTATGGAGAAGCAAAAGGGGGGGAAAGTCCAATTGCCTCTTGAAAAAGCACCTTATGAAAAAGCACCTTTGAGATTCCATATCACCTTGATATAAAATCTTCATTTTAAAGTATTTGAATATTGAGCTTTCAGAATCGATTTCTTGAGCCCGAAATCTAACAAAAGGTAGCTGAAATTGTGTTTCAGTGTCTTCAGAGGAAGTGGATAGGCAGCAAATCCACTTTGTAATAGAACTAGAATATCACATGAGAAGACTAAACCAAATGTAATGTACTTGGCATTTGCTGCATGAATTCTGATGAACCCTAGATGGCAGTAAAATTATGATTCTGTAATTTGTTATCTGGATTTCTGCAGTCCAAGCGTAGGAAACCTATGAATAAAAGTAGCACATGAGTAGAGTGATATTCTAGTTATTGTTATCTAATACAACTGTTGTGATCAGTATGGGACCAGTGATGTATAAGAAGTCTTCTCCAGTTGCACTTACGGGCTTTGTATATTTATCAAAACACTAGTTTTTAGATAAACACTAGTAGATTACTTCTTTCCAAGAAGTTATCAGAGTTATCACATTTTATCACTAACACGTGAAATGAAACGTATAGTATGAATAGAAAACATCAGTAGACTTCAACTATTAATGTTCTAGTTATTTCCTCTTCATATCTCAGCTTAAAATCCATGGAGTCACTGTAAGCCTAAAGCACAGAATCATATTTTTCTTCCCAACCCAATTCAGATCTTGTGGTTATCATATTCAAGCTCTATAATCAGTCAATTCTGGGGCAATTGTTTTTCCATCCACTCATTTTTACATTCATTGATTGCTTTCTAATAGTCTGTGTATAGATCCTTGACATTCCTTAGTGCTTGCTGAATTTGGTGTATCTGTTATTGTTTCTATGGGTGTCTTTTTAATTGCTGCATAACCTCAACTGATTTTTTTTATTCATTTAGCCTAAAGCCATTCACTATGTAAATAAACTGCATCAGATTATATTTTTGTATAATCTAGTACAGGTCTTTTAATCTCCTTATATTTTTACTTCTTTTTTAAAAAACATTTAGCCAGATTTTCAGGAAAAGGAACATTGACTTGGTTTATACATTTTGTTTAGCCATGGTTTATGGGTTTTACAATAAAAATTGAACCATAAATTCCAATTTGTCAAATCCCATTATAGACTTAAGCCAAATATAACTAGTGCTGTGTGTCAATCCAGCCATTGTGTTGATCAGAGTCTGAAATAGTTTGTCAATGCTGCTAACATCAGATGTTCTTGCTTTGACAACAGATGAAAATGCAGCCATTTCCCCCCCCCCTTTTTTTCTTACTCTTAGAATTAGTTGGTGCAAGGAGGGGGGATTGGGATGCGAGCTGTTAGCCATAACAATAACTCTGTCATGGGAACCCAAGGACAAACTGGGCCCAGACCTGATAACGTTTAGGCAGGCTGGAGAGATGGAGAGCAAGCCAGTGCTTTAAGCTAATTGGGAAATGTGCTTTATGACTGTCTATTGGGGGTGGGAATTGTACATTGTTACTTTGTATCCAGGGGAGGGAAATTTAGTTTTTGGTTTCAACTATGTAGGGCCGATACTTTGTTTCCTGAATAAAAGATTATTCAAGGAAAACAATGCCTCGAAGTTCTTTTGAAGGGTTTCATCTTCACTTAGTTCATGAAACCACTGCTACAAAAAAAGAAATGACATCAGACTTTGATAGTTTCTGGTGGGTTTCAGTTTTGTTGTGTTTCTTTGTAAAGTAAAGATTATTAAACAGGGACCCTCTAGGCAGGCGATACCATTGTCCAAGCATTCTTTGCCACTGGGCATGTCAGATATATTGATACTAGTTCAGCAAAACATGAAGGATTTCCAATACCTTATCTTTGTTTTTAAGATGTTTTCTTTTTAATTCTCATTTGCAACAATTTGATTTGATTTACCCATGGCCAAAAAACGGTTTAAAATATACACATTTAAAGGTTTAAAATATTAGCATAATGCACTTACCAAGATAACACAGTCAAAGGCAAATTTTGTTTTTTTCCCCCATACTGTTTTATAAAGCACAATGGCAACATGAATTCAATATTTCTCTTATTCAACTATCTGCTGAAAAATCTGGGGACTGTAGTGCTGTGAATATTTCCTAAACTCTTTGTAAGAAGAGTTAGATTTTATCTGTAGAAATCATAACATTTACTCAGTCTTCTGTACATTTAATAATAGAAGGTTTCTCAGTTCAATAGCGATTAATTCAAAATGTAGCAAAAAAGCTTCTGTCAAATTTATGGTTATTTATTTATTATTCAGTGAAGTGAAACACTGAAACATTGAAATGCAAATCACATCCTTAAATGTTTTGTTATTTATATGCAATATAGAATGTCAGCTGTCAGCAATATAAGAACAGTGAAATTAAGTAGGACAGCTATTGCACTCAGTATTTTCTTTCCAGCCTAAAAAGTTTGAATAATTAAAATTATTTATAGCATATAGCAAATCAGAACAAACCTCCAAAGCTGTAGCTTGAAAAGAATAATCTTGTAATTAATTTTATGATCCTAAATACAACCAAATTTTTTTCACCTGTTAGTATCTATGAGAATTTATAATTTGAATGGATTAGTTCATTGTGCCTGGTCTTTTGAGTAATTCAACATGCAGTTTAATGGTATTGTAAAATGTTTGATACATTTATCTTGAGTCAGTCTAATATTGTTATTACTTGTTGTGGATGAAGTAGTTATCAAAATACCTGTGTAATTTCTAACAATACAAAGGTACTGCTTTTGCATTAGAATATTATTTTCAGCATTAGAACTCTGAATTATTTTCCTAATACTTTTTGAGTTCATTTTGCTTAAACCTGCATAAATAGTAATAAAATACAATAACTAATTGTATTTCTACAGTGGTTCTTCAAATTATCTATCATCTATCCTCTCTATAATATCTATCTATCTATCTATCTATCTATCTATCTATCTATCTATCTATCTATCATTTATCTACTTACCTACCTAGGTAATCTATTTCAGGAAAAAATATACTAAATAGTAAAGTGAAAAAAATAACATTCAGCTTGCTTTGTTCCATTGGCAGGGTAGATCTGCTGGAACTGGTTCCTAAGAAAAGATTAATTTCATTATTTTTAAAGTGTGATTCTGTACTCCAAATTAAAAACATGAAACAAAGAAATGAACCAGTGTTTTAAAACAAAATTCAACATGAGCTCCTGTATTGCTATATTGTAATATTTTCTCAGTAAGAAATTGATCATTCATCATTGCAAGAGACAGCCTATTTATAGCTAGATTTCTCCATCCTTCGAATAGTGGCATTTTCTCATCTTATGGCTGGCATTATACTTCCAGG